GGTGAAGGAGAAACCCCAGGGTTGAAGGGGTCATGGGGAAAAGCTGAGGCCTGGCACCATGAGGCAGGGTCAGAGTCCCTGAAGACAGCCTACTGGTCTCACTCACTGGGCCCCTCAGTCCTTTCATAGGATCTATCAGAGAGGGAATGCTTGATTACTTTGTGTTGAGAGGGAAAAAATAAATGTGAGTTAGAAGTGTGTGGCTTATGGGTGTAATCCCGGCACTCAGGATACAAGGCAGGAGGGTCAGGAGTCTGACGTCTTAAAAACATCTTTTAAAGAGTCAAATTAACTAAGTACATCCTTAATTGTTCTTCAATTTGGCCAGGAGATGCAGAGAACCTTATGTCTAAACTAATTAATTTATATCCTTATATTCTATGTGTTTGTTTGTTTTTGTGTGTATGTGTATACACGCATTGACAGAGTTTATGTGGAGGTCGGGGGACAAGCTGAGGGAGGCAGCTCTCTTCTTCCATCTTATGGGTCTTGGGTGTCAAAGTCAGTAGTCAGGGTTGGTGGCCTTTAAGCACTGAGCCGTGCCACCAGCTCCTACACTATTATTGGACCTAGAACTGTCCCAAACGGCTGTCGCTGCCTCTCCCCTTCCCAGGCTTGTGTCGATATGTCCTTTGGGTTTACTACAAGCTGGTGTGAGGGGCTGAAGAGATGGCTCAAGGGTTCAGTTCCCAGCACAACCATGGCAGCTCACAGACACCCATAATTCCAGTTCCAGCGATTCAATGCCTTCTTCTGGTGTCTGTGGTCAGCAGGCTCAAGTCATACACATAAAATAAAGTAAGCCTTAAAAAGGAAAGCCAGGCATGGTGGCCCACACCTTTAATCCCAGCACTCAGGAGCCAGAGGCAGGTGGATCTTGTGAGTTCGAGGCCATGGATTATTTAGGAGGACAGATTAAAGGTTTGAGTTGTTGGCCCTCCTCTCCTGGCTAGCATGTTTGAAATATCATTCTAGTTACCGATTTCTTTAGAGTAGATGTTTCCTACCCAGGGACCACTTCCTTTGCTCTGGCAACAGTTTCCTTCAGGAAGTGTTCCAGTGCTCTAAGAGCATCTGGTTTAATTCAGTCCAGGATTCCCAGGTGGGGATGTGATCTGGGCTTTATCAGCATTGCGTTGGCTTCACTGATTAGCCAAAGGAGGACTCACAACCAAGTCTTCCAGTAAAATCTGGTCCAAGAGCGTTGGAGTGATAAGTGTCCCTGGGGCTGCTGGGCTGCACAGGCGTTGGTGTCTGTCTGGGCTCTGCAGAACCACGAATCCTGACATTTGAAGATCTGTACCAGCCATGCCTACAAAGCTTTTTGTACTTGCAGGCCGTGAGCCAATAAGTCCGTGTGTGTGTGTGTGTGTGTGTGTGTGTGTGTGTGTGTGTGTGTGTGTGTTTAGTACTTGCATGGAAAGAGGTCAAAGAGTCTCTTTTAACAAGTCCCGCCTGTACCCCCAAACCAAGCCCAGAAGTGAACTCGTTTGTGTTTTGGTGGTCAGAAGGACCTCTAGGATAGGCTCTCTACATTGTTATTGCTGTGGTGACACACCGTGACCAAAAGCAAGATGGGAGGGAAAGGGTTTATACTTCCGTACTGTATCCCTTTGTTGAAGGAAGTCTGGAACCCAACACAGGGTAAGAACCTGGAGGCAGGAGCTAATGCAGCGGCCATGAAGTGCTGCTGCCTACTGGCTTGCTCAGCCTGCTTTCCCATTGAACCCAGGGCCACCATCGGGGGGGGGGGGGGGGCACTCAGATGGGTTGAGCCCTCCCACATCATTAATGAAGAAAAGGCCCCACAGGCTGGCCTGCAGTCCCACCTCATGGGGACATTTTCTTCATCGAGGCTCCCTCCTCTCTGATGACTCTAGCTTTTGTCAAGTTGACATAAAACTAGTCAGAATAGCTATCAAATGGACATGGGGCTAGGAGGGAACACCTAGGGAGTAATTTAAGGCAAGAGGATGCTGAAGCGGGAGCCGGGAGTGGAAAGAGCTGGAGAGAAGGTGAATGCCACTGGGCACGCGGTTGTGCCTGTATTTTGCGCTTGTGTCATAACTGCACAGCTGCTGAAGGTCAGCATCAGGAGAGGGTGTGTGTGTGTGTGTGTGTGTGTATAAAGAGCTGCTACCCCGACAGCGACTCTCCATCTAGCAGAAATCTGGAGATGGAGAACTCAACCCTTAGGTTGAGTTTTTATGGGTGCATTTGCTTGGCAAGGAGCTCTTGTCCAAATTAAATAATCTCGGGGTCCTGGGTAAAGCAGGCAGGCAGTAGTAGGGAGGGGACAGTCTAGTGGGATGTGGTATCAGGGAAAGGAAAGGAACAAGGACACGAAAGGGCAAATCCCTAGACTGTCATCTGTTATAAACTATCTGCTGGGGAGAGGGACGGTCACCCCCCCTCCCCGAGCAAGGGGGGTCACGGCAAGAGGCAGGAGCGACCCTTGCCAAGCAGCAAAGTGGAATGTGTTGTTTCTGCACATAGCATGTCTGTGTCCATTGCTCCGCCTCTCTTGGGTTTCGCTGGCAGCCCTGCACAGGCCTGGATTGCAAGTTGCCCTGCAGCCAGTTATCCTGGGAGCGGGTTCTGAAGCCACACCCCCACATGCCCACCCTGTCCTTCCTTCCTTCAGGGCACCCCAACCTAAACAAGACAACCTGGGCCGGGGTGGGGGGCGCACGCTGATGGAAAAATACACAGTTGGCTGGAAAAGGAACGTTATTTGTATGTGTTGAATTCCCGAAGCAGCCGAAGGATAAATAGCTAGTCCTAGCCTCAGCTGTCTGCCCACAAGGTGGGTGGTAAAATCTGTTCTTATTTAGATAGCTTGGGGGGAGAGGTGAAGAGGGGACTGGGTGGGGGGCAGCAGGAGAGAGGAACTTGGAATCTGCAATGTTTACATGATCAGTCATGGATGTCATCTCTCCCCTTTAATTAGGGGTTTGGAGTTGAAAACACTGCTCGGTTTGGTTGTCCCAGGAACAAAGCAGACTGGCAAGCAGGCTGAGGACATGGCAGTTCCTCGCGGCTCACCTATAGCTAGACCACTGTCTCCACGCCCGTGCAAGTACTGTACAAATGTCAGCCTTGCCGGGCCCCATGCACGATGCTGTACAAGCATCATTTCATTTCATCTCACAACACTTGGCGTTAACTACCCCAATGTGCCTACTTTACAGAGGCAAAAACCCAAAGGAAGGCCTAATATAAAGAGCACACAACAGATGAACAGTACCCATCAGAGCTAGAACTGGCTTTCTTTTCCTTTTTTAAAAAATTCAAACTTAAAAAATTTAAATAAATTTAAGAGAGAAAGACAAGGTCTTGTAGACCACGAGTGCTCAAATTTGATATGTAGCCTAGGATGACTTTGAACTCCTGATTCTCCTGTTTCCACCTCCCAAGTAATAACTAAGTCTTAACTTTGTCCATGTTTTCAGACATTTTCCCATCCTTCCCCCGAATGAGAAGGAATTTGGACTTTTCTAATCTTTGGACATCTTAGTTTTCTTCCCCAGCCCAAGTCCTCTATAATCTTCAAAGGGATGGATGGAAGGATGGATGGATGGATGGAAGGATGGATGGATGGATGGATGGAAGGATGGATGGATGGATGGATGGATGGATGATGGAAGGATGGATGGATGGATGGGATGGATGGATGGAAGGATGGATGGATGGATGGAAAGATGGATGGATGGAAGGATGGATGGATGGAAGGATGGATGATGGAAGGATGGAAGGATGGATGGAAGGATGGATGGAAGGATGGATGGAAGGATGGATGGATGGAAGGATGGAAGGATGGATGGATGGATGGATGGATGGATGGATGGAAGGATGGATGGAAAGATGGATGGATGGATGGATGGAAGGATGGATGATGGAAGGATGGATGGATGGATAGATGGATGGATGGATGGATGACTTCTACTTTTAGCTCTGCCATCTTTTTTTGTGAGAAGTCCTTTGTAGCCGCCCTATCCCCAGCGCATGGAGCCAGACAATGTATTGACAGAACATACTTAAGGTATGAAGAAAACTAATTGAGTAATGCTTATGGGTGGGAGAGTAGCTGAGGCTCTTGGCTGCTTTAGATTGGATGAACTGAGGCTGAGTTGAGATTACATGCAGGTGTAGGTGTACAAGGGGGAAGGACAGCAGACATCGCGGAGAGCAGGGAAGTAGACTAGTTTTTTGTTGTAGCTACGTGGAGGGTTTCAGGAGGAAAGCCAAGTCAGATTCAGAATTATCAATGCACCAATCCACATTTGCCCTTACTCTTCTCCATTTGGGAAGGCAATAGATTTCACTCCCAGCCCAAACCACCCTAATTGCCATATTAATGCTTATCTAAGAATTCTAAGTCTGCCTAATGAGTTAATTAATTCCTAGACTTTAACTGACTCTGAGAAGTGGGTTCAAGAGTTCAGTAAGGGGGGCTGGAGAGAGATGGCTCGGTGGTTGGGCATTTACTGCTCTCTCAGAAAACCTGGTTTCAGTTCCTAGCAGCTACACAGCAGTTCACAACCACATACTTTAGTCCCAGGGGAACCAATGCCCTTTGGGTCCCTGCATGCGTAAGATGTACACACATGCACGCACGCACGCGCACGCACGCACACACACACATGGGAGGCGGGGGCACTCTTCTGTCCATTTGGGCTAGCCTTAGCCACATAGCAAGACTCTGTCTCAACGGACAACAAAACAGATAGTTGAACAAATGCAAGTTATAGTACAGGCATTCTGACTAGCTATACAAATCACAAAGTGAAAGCTGAAAACAATTAAACACCGCCTTATTCCACAGTGTTAAGGCTTCTGGAAAACGGCACTCCCCAAAGCCTAGGGGTAATGATTTTTAACAGTTATTTTTCATCTAGTCAAGCATTCCATGTCTCCAGTGATGGTAAGTTGAGAAATATTTTAACACTCAGCACAACAACCAGTTCACTCCCAGACACACGCTTAGGGTAAACACACACTCAACATTAAGTAGTATTTATTTCTCAAGTTTAAAAGTTTTCAAAATACATATGTACAAGATAAACAAAACAAGCTATCCTTAAAGAATCACTGCATAGCAGAATTCATAAACATACATGGTCTTTTATAAGGATACAAACATTATGTCATCAAACACAAAGAAAAACATTCAAGAAAAGCAAGCAAAAGAGACCACCTTGTCACAGACTCCATTCACTAAGAGGGACCAGGACGAGCTCTCTGAACATCCAGGTGGAATTTCTTTTCTGTGCCTTCAAGTGGCTCGGCTTTCCTTTTCTGTGTGGAGCTGCATTCCTCGGAGCCACCAACCTCTGATGAGGTGTGTAGCATCTCTTCGTCAGCCTAAGAGGAGTCGGGGGTGGGGGGGTGAGACAACACTTGCACCGATGTTAATGGGAAAGCCAAAACCCTGTAGGGCTATTTCCTGATGCACATTTCCTGCAAAAGCATCTTCGTCAAGGTTTTTTGTTTTTTTACTTTTTCACTTCAAACTTTATCAACTCAAGAAGCTAGACATGAGGATGTATGCTTGTAACAATCAAGAGGCTGTGGTAAGAGGACTATAGTTTCAGGCTAGCCTGTATAACACAGTAAGTTCAAGTCAGCTAGGGCTATATACACCCTGCCTCAAAAAACCAAAACAAACAACTCTATCAACTTAAACACCCCCTCCGTGAATGGTCTCATAAGAGATTAAAATTTTCCCTCCTAACCCAACCTTCTATTGTTTTTGTAACTAGCCTCTGGCTCAATATTAAAAAGGACCAATCAGAAAAAAATGAGTGAGTCACCTTCCCTCTACCCCTTAGACTCACAAGAACATAAAAATGTCAAGCAGATGCTGCCTGCCCTCTAGTGTCAACAGATGACAACTGTTAGTTGAGTATGTAAGCATTTTGCTGAACGATGTTTAGATGGTTGCAACAGGAAAAAGAACCCAACTAGCCGTTCTAGAGTATAGTATCAACGTAGCAAGTTTAATAAATATTTAGACATGTATTTTATGTTTATTTATAAGTGCTTGATCTGGGATACAAATCTGTTTTTTTTAAGATGTATTTATTTTTGGTTGTCTGTGTGTGTATGGGTTTCTGTACATGTGAGTGCAGTTGCCTGTGGAATCCGGACGAGGGTGTCAGATTTGTAAGAGCTGGAGGTATAGGCAGTTGTGAGCCTCCTGATGGATGCTGGGTGCTGAATTAGGGCCCTCAGAAGAGGACTATGCCTCCTTAACCACTAAAGCTGTCTCTCCAAGCCTGGCATACACTATAATAATATGTATGTACATACATATGTGTACATGTGTATATATCGTATTTTATTAATTCTTTGACAATTCTATACAATGTATTTTGACAATATTCACTCCCTCCTTCTCCCCCTAACTGCTCCCATACCCATTCCCCATTTTCTCCAACATTGTACCCTCTTTAAATTTTTGAGAAACAGGGTTCCTGGCTGGCCTGGACCTTACTATATACTTACTATGTAGCTCATGCTAGCCTCAAATTCACAGAGATCTGCCTGCCTCTGCCTCCTGAGTGCTGAGATTAAAAGCACATACCACCGTACTGGGCCTTAAAATGGTTTTGTTTTGAAACATCCCCTAAGTCTAATTTGTACTCGTGGGTGGAGCCACCCACCAGAGCATGGCTAACCTAGAGAGGCCTTAAAGAAAAGGGACTCTCCATCCCCCACAGCTACCAACTATCAACTGTTATCAGTTTTATGAGTGCCTCGTTAGGGGTGAGGGCTCATTAGCCCCTCCTCTCTCCGTGGATACAACGCTCAAACTGGTAATATTAGCAAATATCATACCTTTTGTTTCTGTCTTGCATGAATTTCTGTCCAATGCCTGGCATTCTTGAGGAAAGCTACCTTATTATATTTAAATTCTGAAGACTGAAATGAAATCAGAGTTAAAACAGAGAAACAGTGATATGCTGTGGTAAGCTCTAGTTGCTGAAGTATTAAAATGACAGATAAAGTGAGCTATGTGTTACTGAGGAAATGGGGATACGTACAATGTCAGCCATCAGAGGGTCGTCAGGGTTGGGTTCTGCCATGAGCAGCTGAACAGAGGTCAGTACAGCAGCAATGTTGAGGGATGGTCTCCATGCACCCTATATGCAAATGAGCGACTGCTTTTGTACTAGCAGGGACACTGTTGAGCCAGGCATGGTGAGTCATGCCTGTAATCTCAGCACTTACAAGGTAGACTCAGGAGATCCAGGAGTTTAAGGCCACCCTTTGCTATGTGACACACTGTCTTAGATCAAAATGAATGTGACACTGTATATAACCCAAGGCCTTGTTGTCTGTCTGTCTGTCTGAGGCAGGGCTTCAACTTGCTGTGTCATTGAGGATGACCTTTTAATTCCTGATCCGCCTGCCTCCCTCCGTCAGTACTAAGGAAACTGTTGGTATTGTCTAAAGAGTCACTTCTTAATGACTCCTACTCACTTTTGGTGGCAATTTGAGAACATCTAGACAAATCCTTCCACTAGAATCAATGTTTGGATGATAGATTGGAGTCAGAAATCTGATCTGTGGCGGTTCAAATGGATACCTGTGAATGTATAAGAACAGGAAATTATTTTAGTACTGCCATACCTGGCCTCCTCCTCATATATATATATCTGAGTCCAATTTATAGTGCCTACATACTCATGGGTGTGGACCCACCCACCACGGCATGGTTAACCCAAGAGAGACCTCAAAGAAAACGGACTCTCCATCCCCAGGAGCCATTAACTATCAACTGTTATCAGTTTTACTAGCATCTCAGGGATGAGGGTTCATTCTACATTTTAAGTAGTTTCTTGGTCACTAGTAGCTATATAAAATAATGATGGAAGTATAAAAATGTCAGGAAAATAGTATTTGGAAGGCAAATCTTTTCCAAATTTGCCAACAATCAAAAAGTTGAAATAATGCTACTGAAAACATTCAGAACCTACCACCTTCTAAACCATGTATATCCTAAGAGTAAGGACACTACCCTATTGCAATACTATTATATCTGTAAAAAGTTTTTAAAAGCAATTCCCTAGTTACTAATTATTTACTATTCAAACTTCCTAGTCTCCAAATTTTCTTTTATTAATTAATTAATTAATTAATTCAAGACACAGTTTCTCTGTATAGCAGCTCTGAAACCTGTCCTGGAACTTGCTCTGTAGACTAGTCTGGCCTTGAACATAGAGTGCTGGGATTAAAGGTGTGCGCTACCACCAGGCTCTCCAAATTTTCAAAAAGGGTTTATTTATGTGTGTGGTTGCCTGCACATATGTGTGCCTGTGCACCATGTATACGCCTGGTGCTCAAAGGTCAGAAGAGGGTGTAAGATCCCTGGAGGTAGGGTTATAGGTGGTTGTGAGCTAGCGATCACATGATGCTTGGAACTGAACCCAGATCTGTTTTACAAACAGGCTCCAAATAGACTCACACATTGCATTTAGTTGTATCTCTTTAGTGACACACAAATCTTGCAAAATTCCTAGTCTATTTTCAGACCTGATGTGTGACACAATTAAGCTACTCATTCAGGGCTTAACAAGTTTAGCCAGGACCCAACCTGGTAGACAGATGTCCAGTTAAGACACATTTCATCCCTTCTTCATGCTGCACACGGAGCTGAAAGGAGACTGGACTGAACCCGGCCTTAACATTGAGGCGGCAAAAGTAGACGCCAAGGGCTGGTGTCAGGGATGACTCAGGCTGGGTTTTTAACGGGTATGAAGGTACAGCTGGGAATATGAAAAAGTTCTGGAGATAACAGTAACAGTAGTACAACGGTGTGAAATATATACCCAAATGGTTACAAGAGTCAATTTACGTTATATAAAATATATAAACCACAATTCTTTGGAGGGGAGGAGCTCAGTTATGATGTAGTCCACTATTTTAGAGAAGGAAACCAAACTCCTGAGAGACAAAAACAACGCACTACTCATGCACTCATACACTAATGCTCTAAATACTATTCTGCTGTCTTCCAATGGCTATACCTCACCGTCCAATTCATCCTCACCTCGCAGGGACGACAACTTCCAGGGTGAAAACTCCTTTCTCATAAGGTGTGTTTGCTCCACCTAATATTTCTTGAGAAAAAGATAGGAAAGAAGGAAGTTAAAAGGGAACCAGGTGATTGGAATTAGCCACTTGGAGGGCTGAGGATGTAACTTGGGTAGAGCTCTTGCCGAGCGTACACAAAGCCCTAACTAAGTTCAACAGGACACATAACTGAACCCCACACGGTGGCATAGGCTGAAATGCCAGTACTGCAGAGATGGAGACAGGGGGATCAGAAAGTGAAGGACCTCCTTGGTCAAACAGCAACTTTGAGGCCAGCCTAGGCCACCTGAGACCCTTTCTCAAAAGGCAACACAAGCAACAGGAACTATATCAGATGGACCTAAGGTCTATAGCTCTAGATGCAGAGGCTGGAGAGATGGCTCAGCTTGCTGCTCTGCCAAAAGACCAGAGTTCCAACTTTGGCAGTCTTATCAGGAAGCGTACACCTAGAGCATATAACTCCAACTCAAGAAGGTCTGGTGCCCTCTTCTGGCTCCTTCAAGAACCTGCACACATGTGCATGCGATCACATACAGGAATAATAATGTTTAAATAAATAAATCTGTTTAAAAAAAAGAAAGAAAAAGGAACCGGGTATAGGACAGTAATTGAATTAGGGCTTTAACGGAGTCTCCTTGCAGTGTCCCCTTTCTGTCCCCGGGCCTCAGATACTCCACACAGCTAATACCTAAATCTGTATTTTGTTTTTTTAACTAACAATTATTTTGTGTGTCTGTGTACACACAATGTCATGGCATGTACAAGGAGCCAGAAGACAACTTATAGGAGTTGGTCCTCTCCTTCCACCATATGGGTCCTAGAGATTGAACCTGAGTTGTTAGGCTTGGTGGCAAATGCCCTTAAGAGCCACCTCACTGTCCCTGCCCACCCCACAACAAAACCTTCATTGAGACAAGATCACTTTCTGCAGCCCAGCTGGCTTCAAACTTGGAGCAATCCTTCCTCTCCTGCCTCAGCTTCCAGAATCCTGGGGATGTAGACATGTGCCACCAATGCCCAGCCGACAACTTTACTCACGAACCAATAAAAGATACAAGAAAACCAACTAAGAGAGAGGGCAGGCCGGGTTCCTTCACCTGACCATGCAAATTTCAGGACAACCTCCAATAAGGCTACAACCATCACCACAGGCATGATGGGATACCTACGGGCTCGCAAATCATCCACTCGGTCCTTTTCCTGCCAGCATGTGATGCCCGGAGGAGGGTCTATGGCTAACATGTGCAGTTCTTTCTTGAGGCGTGAGGCCCTCTGCATGATGTCAAGTCAAAGGGACGATAAACGGCTCTGCTCCACACTAACGGCTCGTGGGTGGGGGTGTGCTGGGAGAGAAAAGAAGCAACCATGACACACGCTCAAAGACTGGTGTTTTCCTTCAGCACGGCTTCAATTAGTGAGGACAGTGGCAAAGGTAGCCTTGACCTGTCCCTATTTCTGCATGAGCCCTTACGACCGATAATAATTTAAAAAGAACTTTAAATGAAATGTCTGCTTTCATTAATAAAGCATCAAGTCATGAGGGCAGAGCCTACGTCCAGTTCTGCTCCTGGACGCATCCTAAGCATGCCCGGCGCACAGAGGGCCTGGGCAGCTGTGCGTAAGTCCACAGTGAGCCAACACTCGGAGACACTTAAAGTGCTTAAGAGTCTGACATTCTCTCTGTGTGCTGTGGATTCTACAGTATCCTCATTCTTCAGGAAACTGTCTTCAACATCAGATATGCTCAAAGTCTCTCACCTAAAATAACTCCCACAAACACATCCGCTCAGTTACTAACCACCTCAAGGACACTAATACTTTGATGTGCCTTACAAATATAATCTCACAAGTTATGGCTTATTTTTCTTAAATTTTACTTCAGCCCCCCCCCTTTTTTTTTTTTTAATTTGAGATAGGTCTCCCTTAGTTGCCCAGGCTGACCTTGAGTTTACTCTAGTAAGCCCTCATACCTGTGATTTTCCTACCTCAGCCTACATCAGGTCCAGCTAATGAATATTTTGTTTGTTTGTTTGTTTGTCTGAGACAGGGTTTCTCTGTGTAGCCCTGGCTGTCCTGGATCTCCCTTTGAAGACCAGGCTGGCCTTGAACTCACAGAGATGTGCCTGCCACTGTCTCTGCAGCACTGGGGTAAAGGCATGCGCCACCTATCATTTTTTCTTCCCTTTCCCCTTCCTACCTTTCTTTATTTTCTCTTAAGACAGGGTTTCTCTTCGTGGCCCTGGCTGTCCTGGAACTTGATTTGTAGACCACGATGGCCTCAAACTCAGAAGTCTCTGAGAGCTGAGATTAAAGGCATGTGCCACCATGTCCAGCCTCTAACATTTTCTTTAAGCCCAACAAAACATTGTTATTTTATACAGTAAATGTGAAGAGCTACTTTCAGTAAAACAAAACAAAACTCTCTCCCAAGTATGGGCGACTGGCAAAACAGGACAGCGGGGAAAGGCGCTTGCTCTTCCAGAGGACCCAGGTTCAATAACCATCAGTAACTCTAGTTCCAGGAGATCTAACACCCTCTTTTGGCCCCGGTGGGCACAGAGCATACACGTAATGCAAATACATAGATGCACACAACACATGAAATAAAATCAAATAAATTCTTCAAAAAGTCCTTTGACTTAAAAGCCATCCGTTACCATGTGTTTACTGAATATAAAGGTCCTTTACAGAGGCGAGGCTGGGTGGTGTAGACACTATAGGCGCCTGGGCAGGAAGTCTAATCCAGGCCAGCCTGGGTTACAGCGACACCTGTCTCAAAAACAACAAAACTCTCAACCAAGCAACCTTACAAAAAGCTCCTTTACAATCCAGCTCCAGCAAGCATCTTAATTTCTTATGGACTGCTTTTAGCCTTTTCCTCGGTAATTACTTCCCACAAACGTATGCTTACACCCGCACTGACAAGTCACAAAATCCTTTCACACCTATGCATGCGTTCCCTGGGCCGGGCGGTGGTGGCGCACGCCTTTAATCTCAGCACTCTGAAGGCACAGACGATAAGTTCGAGACCAGCCTGGTCTACAGAGCGAGTTCCAGGACAGGCTCCAAAACCACAGAGAAACCCTGTGTCGAAACAAACAAACAAACAAACAGACAAGGGCAGTCCCCAGTCTTTCCACACTCTACGCTTCTTCCTATTTGCAGCCTGTACGCTGGATTCGCCTCCGATTCCGGAGCGCTGCCGTTTTGTTTTGTCCCCCGGGCCTGTGGTAAATAATCAACGAGCAGAGCCCGAGTAGGAAGGTGGCAGCCGCAGCCTCGGCGCGCACAGGGCGGTTCTCCCCCCCCCCTCCCGGGCGGCCCGGGGCGAGACCGCAGCCCTTCCCCAGACTCACCGTGAGCCCGGGCGCGTCCTCCCCGGCGGCCCCGCTGCAGCCCTCGGCTCCTCCGCTCGACGCCGGGGTCTGCTGTGCCCCGGGCGACCCTGAGACGGTTGAGATGACTCCACCCCCGGCCGAGACGTGGCTGGGACTGGTCGGTAGCAAGCCCGGGAGAGGCGCGCGCGCGCCCATTGGCCAGCGCGCCGAGCGTGCGCCCGCCCACGCAGGGTCCAAATCGGCGCGCGCGCACTGCTGCTGGAATCCCGGCTGTCCCGGTGCTTGGACGGCACCTACAGGAGACAAGGCGGGAGAGCAGCTGGACATACTTTATTTTGTTTTCATTGTGTTTTAGAGACAGGGTTTCTCTGGGTAGCTTTGGGCCTGTCCTGGAACTCGTTCTGTAGACCAGGCTGTCCTCCTGCCTCTGCCTCCCTTAGTGCTGGGATTAAAGGTGTGCACCACCACCACCACCGGCGGGAACTGGACAAATTAAATCTGGAGAAATGACTGCTGAAGAGCTGACTTTCTTTCTTTCAGTTCTTTGAGACGGGGGCGGGGTGGGGCAGGAGTGAGGTCTTGCAATGCAGCCCTTCTTAGCCTGGAATGGAACTTGCTACGTAGCTCAGGCTATCCTAGAACTCTTGGCACTCCTGTCTCAGCCTCCCAAGTGCTGGAATTAGGCACGCTCCACGTTGCCCAAGGCTTTAAAACCAATTAGTTGAAAGATAAAAGCCGAGCACGGTGGCGGAGGCATATTGCGATAAAAAAGAGCAAGAATTTGAAGCTCTCCTAGACGACATAGACTTCTTCCAGCTACGAAAAAGCATTCCACCAGGACTGAAGAATAAAGCGGATTTCTTCACCATTGGAAGTTTTCAAAAGGAAGCTGAGCAAGTTAGGGGTAATGCCAAAGCGATCAGTAGGATGACTGCCTGCTCTCCTCCCCCTTCACTGTGCTGAAAATCAAACCCAGGTCTTCCTACACACTGTGACAGCTTCTGATCCCTCGGTCACTCACCTGCCCTGAAATAAATGTTTTGGGGAAAAAAAGAAAAAAAAAAGAAGTTGGACAGATTGTTTTTAATTAGTTAATTTATTTTATGTGCATTCATGTTTGGCCTGTATGTGTGTGTGTCTGTGTGAGAACGTTAAATCCTCTAGAACAGGAGTTACAGACAGCGGTGAACTTCCATGTGGGTCTTCTGGGAGAGCAGTCGGTGCTCTCAACTGCTGAGCCACCCTTCCAGCCCCCATAAGCGACTTTTAAGCGCTCTTCCAACGCTAGAAAGGTAATATTTTCTGCGAGTTACTACACAGTTGGGAAGGATGCCTCAAGAGACTCTGCAGAGCCGGAATTCGGCTTAGACTATGGGAACCGTGGGGGCAGGGCCCCACACCAACCAACCAAACAACCATCCTTGTAAACTTTCACTGCTCCTAGATTATTGTGCAGCTCTGGGGCGGTGGTGGCATAGAAATAGCAATTTGTCTCTTTGTGATTTCTGCATTTAGTCCAAACTGAGGTTAGGCAACAACGGATTCCTCATGAAGGTTGCGTGGTGTGTTTTGTCCTGTGGAGGCACTCAAATTTACTAGGACTCCGATTCTTCCCTGGGCTTCCCCCACTTCAGTTGTAGGACTGAACCAGAGACTAGCTAATGCATTATGCAAATTGTAAAATTATGAACTATAAAGAATCACAAAACAGTATAACTGACGTGTGTGTGTGTGTGTGTGTGTGTGTGTATATATATATAAAATCTTTTCCCCCCAGATGATCTATGTTTATGGTTACGATTTGCTCATTGCAGTAAAGTGTTTCCTGTAACCATTTTGGAGTTACTGCTTAATTTAACTACTGGAATTTCCTGCTACTTAACCCTTCCAACATCTTGCTCTTCCTATTCCAACGGTGACTGTATATCAATTAGTCCCACCTTCAGAACTGAAGTGGAACCTTCCTCGGATGGTTCTCTGAAAGACCAATTACAAATTAGTCAATACTGTATTAAGTTTGGTTGGAAGGATCAACTGCAGTTCCGGCAAAGGAAAAAGGACAGAAAGGGCTCCATTCTGGGTGTAGAGTTTCCATTTGTCCACTAGGGGGAGGTGTGTTACTGATAGGCTAGAGACCAGAAAGATTGCCCCAACTATGAATCTAGTTGGCCTGGGACTAGCTATTTAGACTAGACTGGCCGCCAACTCACAGAGATCTGCTTGCCTTTGCCTACCAAGTTCTGGGTTTAAAGGCATGTGCTTCCACCACTGGTTTAATTTAGTATTTTTGAGGCAAGGGCTTCATTCTGAATTTCAGGTTGGCCCAAAGCTCATACCTACCCTCCTATCTAGGTATTATCATTATTTGTTTTATTTTGTTTATTTGAGGCAGGGCCCCATATAGCTCAAGCTGGCCCCAGGTTCATTATGTAGCCAAGGCTAGACTTGAACTCCTGATCCTCTTGTCTCTGTTTTCTAAGTGTTAAGATTACAAGCATGTGCCCAGTAGCCAGAATGTCATTATTTTTTAAAAAGCAGAGTGCCTTAATGATATAATTAAAGTGTGGATATGGAAAAGAATGTAACACAGCTTCCTTTTATAATGATCTAATGTTTTCAGATTTCAACAATTCAGGAATCGTTATGGATATGGAACAAATGTCATATTGAAAATGCTTTATGTAAAACTGTATTATTGGATGCACATGCATGCTTTTACCCGTGCACATTCGAAACTAGTACACGTTAACAAAACTAGATGGAAAGCCAGGACATGGATTCTAGTTCTGTCACTTTATGTTTAGTCCTCCCTTCTAGAAAATAATGTTAATTACTGCTGCTTTTTCACTCTTCTCGTGTTAAGGGATAATTAAGGGAGCTAAGTTAAGTTTAGTGGTCACAAAAATAATAAACTACGATTCCCAAAATGCCTCTGGACGTGGGGGTGGTGGGGGAGACAGTTACAGCTTCAGGGCAAAGGTGGCCCGGCTAAGTCCAGCAGCAGAGAAGGGTGCAGCTCGTCCTTGACTGATTTCTAATGCACGTAGGGATATGTAGTTCCCATAAGGTCACAGCGTGCCTTCAGACCACGTCTTTGACTACAAGTCCCGTGAGGACACGCGGCTCGAGCGGCGCCTGCGTGCTGAAGCTAAAGGAGCGTGTGGGCGGCGCTAGCGTCTGGAGGAGTAAAGATGGCGGCTCGGGGTCCTCCGCCTTCATTCCCGGGCTGAAGCCCTCGGAGGGAGGCGGCGGCGGCGGCGGCGGCACCCGGCTGCCAGCGTTCTGGCGGTGGTGGCTTTGGCAGCAGCTGCGGAGGCTGGAGCCATGGCGGAGCTGGAGCACCTGGGAGGGAAGCGGGCAGAGTCGGCGCGAGCGCGGCGGGCTGAGCAGCTGCGGCGCTGGCGGGGCTCGCTGACAGAGCAGGAGCCCGCGGAGCGGCAGCTGCAGACGCGGCGCGGGAGCCCGCGGGTCCGCTTCGAGGATGGCGCGGTCTTTCTGGCTGCCTGCTCCAGCGGGGACACGGACGAGGTGGCCAAGCTCCTGGCAAGAGGCGCGAACATCAACACGGTCAACGTGGACGGCTTGACAGCCCTGCACCAGGTGCGACTCCCCGTTCGGCTCGGTGGCGTGGGGCAAGCGTGTGGCCCCTTGGGCCGCCTCGCCCGAAGTATTCATTACTAGTGTCACGGTGGAGCCAGCCCGCTCGCAAAGACCACGCCACGTGAGCCGACTCGCGCACGTTCTGGGCCACCTGCTTCCCCTCCGCGAGTCTTTTCCAGACCTTAGGGTTAGGGTCCTAACGCGAGGGACTGGTGTCACCCGGGTGACTGGTCAGTGTTTGTATTTCCCTCCACCTACTTGGGTTGTCATGGCGACCGATGGATTTGGTCCTTGGTGGTTATCTCCATAGATTAGTCATCGTTTGCATCTGTCTTGTGCCTGTACGGTCATGTCACTCATGCGTACACTTAGTGACATTAGCCTGATACGCTTTCAGAAATTCAGCTTTCTGTTTGCATGGCCCAGTTGTCGAGATGCCTTGGGTCAGTTAAAGAAAACAATCCCAGTAGCGGATTAAGACAGGCAACTCTTGTGAAACGACACTTGTTTTGCTGAAGCGTGGTTTGTGCCTTCTCCAGGCCACCCTTAGAACACCCTTGACCTCTTTGTTATGGGTGTCTCATTTTCTTCGCAGCTCTGCCATTTCTGTCAGGGACAGAATTATTTCCGTCTGGTACTTATGGAATAGACTTTCAATGTTATTTCTGAAGCTCTCTGTAGAAATGATGATCTTTAAAAAAAAAATATGTGTGTGGGGGGGAGGTTGCAGGTAATCTGAGAGTTTGTTCTTAGCGCCTTGATTTCTCTCACTTATGCAACAATATTCTCTGTATACGGACTGTCCTGACTCCACCCCCTCTCCCCAGCTGAACTTCATTAGTTATTTTGGTGAGCTGAGTTGGGCACCCACTGTCCTTGGTTCTCCCCCTTTGAACACAGAATCTCATGTAGTTCAGGTTGATTTACAGCTCTTCCTGTAGCTGAGCATGGCCTTAAGCTTGTGAGCCTTCTGTCTCTATGTCCCCAGGGCTGGGACTGCCCAGGCTTTGAAGTTCTGAGGATGAAACGCAGGGCTCTGAGCATGCTAGGCGGGAAATCTGCCAACAGAGTTCACCTCAGCTCTTTCTTCTCTCCCTTTTTTCTCTCTGTACAGTGAATGTGTTCACAGGAGAACCCACTTTTAAATAATAATTCAAGTTTATGTTAAGACCCCTCCTTAAGGATATTTAGCTAATAGCTTAAACTTGTTATTGCTCTTTACTGTGGAAGAAAATCTCTTACCCAATATTATTTAGTGCACCACCTGAAGTATATATAGATCAGTATTTGTATAGTACTTTGCTGTTTAAAATGATTTCACGTGTCTTCCCTCATGTGTTCTTCTGCAACCCAGTGTAGATGGTAATAATGTAACTCCCACTTTACAGAGGAGTGTAGATGGTAATAATGTAACTCCCACTTTACAGAGGAGGAAACGGAAACCAAGAGAAGTGTGTGTGTGAAGCTAGGAAGGATAGCAGTTGCCTGTGAAGTGTGTGTGTGTGTGTGTGTGTGTGTGTGTGTGGAAAGCTCGGAAGAACAGTTGCCTACCCACCAAATAAGGAATTGGGTATAAAATGTGGTGGAAACTAAGAGAACTACATTGAACTCTAAATAAGATTTAAACTAAATTTTTGAACTCTTTGGAAGGGTGAATTCCATACACGTGAGGTCAGAGGTCAGCCGGGTGTCTTCCCCCATCATTCCCCACCTTTATATTAAGTATTATTATTTTTAGCATAACTCGTGACCTCCTTTATTGTGGTTAGTGTGTGTGTGTGAGTGCCGGTATGTGTGTGCGGTAAGTTGAAGGAGTCAGTTTTCTCCTGGCATCATGGGTTCTGGGTTTGGGGATGGAACTCAGCTGGCTGGCTTGCTCAACAAGTGTGCTTTCCAGCTGGGCCTTGTTTCTTTTAAAGTGACTCTGCTTGCTGAGTTTATCGCTTCCCGTGCGTTTGAATGTCGCTCTGGGAGGTCACTCATGATGGACCCTGCCTTCCAGCGCTGTCTCTCTCTCCCCTTCCGGCTGTCTCTCTCTCCCCTTCCAGCGCTGTCTCTCTCTCCCCTTCCGGCTCTGTCTCTCTGCCTATCAGGAGACTGATTGCCTTGGTACCTCTCCCCTCCTCACTAACACCCTCGATTGTGAAGTGCAATGTCTGTTAGTTGATGAACTCTTTGCATTCAGTCATCTCTTGAAGTAGGAGAGGAAGGGGATGACAGCTATGGAATATATTTTCTTTTACCTAGAAATGTAATAGAAAAATTCCTTCATATTTACAGGCTTGGCTGTTGAATTGAATGCATCTACTCAATACTAGGTAAATTCAGTTAAAGATTAATCTGCTCAAAGGTTTGATGTTAAGTTAAATAACTTTCTGGTTTGAATTTTTCCTTCCTCCTCCTTCCCTCCTTTGAAAAAGGGTCTTAGGTGGCGGTGTGCACTCTTTTAAGCCCAGCACTGGAGAGGCAGAGGCGCAGGTGCATCTCGGAGTTCGAGACCAGCCTGGCCTACAAGAGCTAGTTTCAGGACAGCTTCCAAAGCCACAGAGAAACCCTGTCTCAACCACCCCTCCCCAAAAGAAGAGAAAAGAAAAAGGGTCTTAAACCATAATCTAGGCTAGCCTGAAACTCACTGTGTAGCCAAGCTGGCTTTGAACTCATGGCAAGACTCTTGTGTTAGTTTCCCAAGTACTGAGATTGTAGATGCGAACAGCCTCACCTTGCCTGTTCTATTGGGGAACTACCATGGAACCTTTATTGGCATAAGAACTCTTAGAAGTCAGTTGACGAAGAGATACAGTGTCTCTCCATGATCTGAAGGACTCTTTTGGAGGGGAGGGGTTGGAGACATGGTTTCTGTGTAGCTCTAGCTGTCCTGGAACTCAGCTTGTTGACTAGGTTGACCTCAAACTCCGAGATCCTCCTGCCTCCGCCTCCCAAGTGCTGGGATTAAAGGCGGGTGCCACCACTGCCTGGCTTATCTGAAGTACCCTTAAGATTTGTGAAAGATTTTCTCAGTGCAGGGTCTGGAGCTATTAGTGACCAAGTCACCCTGAAGATTTGATTATGCTCATCTGTTACTACTAACACAATAAGAATTATCTGGGCAGTTGATCATTTTTACCCCCCTTGTTTTGGTCATGGCCACTTGAACAACTGTAGATTATCACCTTGGCATGTTAAGTAAAATACCTATAAAATATATGGGGACAGTTTTTCTCCTTTTACAAGCTCACAGTAGATAATTTGCAGTAGATCATAGTAACTTGATATTACTTTTGATGGAGAGACCTTTTCTGGTACTTTTTGATGACATCACGGCTGTTCAATTCAAAGATAACAAACCTAGGAGAACATTAATAATTCTTAAAAAAAAATACACTGGGGCTGGCTCAGAGGCTAGACCAACTTGGATGAAAGCTTTGGAAACTGAGATAGACTACCCAGAACTATATATAAAAAATAATATTTCTTTTGGGGTCTGCAGAGATGGCTCAGCAGTTAGGAGCACTGACTGCTCTTAGCGGATTCGATGCCCAGCACCCACATGGCTGGAAACTGGCTACGACTCCAGTTCCAGGGTGCCCGGCGCGCTTCTGGACTTTGGACATCAGGCACATATGTGATGCACGGAAACACGTACAGGACAAACACCCATACACACAGAGTACCGTGTTCCACTGTTTAATATGATGCCTCAGGCTCTGTTGGGCGCCTGGCCCCTTGGCCTGTGAGTATTAGTCCCAAGTTTCCATGCCTCTGTACACCACTCACATTTGAGCACTGGATTTTTGAAGTGCACACGGAATTGGCTCTCATTTGTATGTGTTCACTGGCGAAGTACCTCCTCGATCTTCTTTTCATCCATATTCTCTCCCTCTCCATCCCTCCTCCTCTCCCTCATTTCTTTTTCTCCCTCCCCCTCTCTCCACCTTCTCCCATACCGCCCTGTGTATATCTGTGTGTGTGAGTGTGCGTATCTGTGTGTGTACGGAAGTGCCATGACTTGGTGTGTAAGATCAGAGGAGAGCAGGAGTTGGCTCTCTTCTTCTGCCTTGGGTTCCTGGGATCAAACTCAGGTCATCAGGCTTGTTGGGCGACTGCCTTTACCTGCTGAGCCATCATCTCCCTGGACTTCCTATCCATCCGTTCCCTTCCCTTCCTCTCCCTTCTCTGAAACCATCTCAAATAGTCCAGGCTAGCCTCTGGAACTTACTTGTAGCTGAGGATGAACTTGAACTTGGGATCCTTCTGCCTCTGCATCACAAGTGCTCAGATTATAGGCACATGGCACCATGCCTGTCGGCTGGGTTTCTCTGTGTAACAGCCCTGGCTGTCCTGCAACTCACTTTGTAGGACAGGCTGGCTTCGAACTGGCAGAGATTCACCTGCCTGGCCATTTTGGTTAGCTATTTTTTAAACATGTGAGAGAGAGAGAATCTGTCTGCACCCCCGCCCCGCCCCCCCCCCCCCGTGTGTGTGTGTGTGTGTGTGTGTGTGTGTGTGTGTGTGTGTGTGTGTGTGTGTTAGGACATTCAGGTTATTTCCAAGGTGCTATAAACATTTGCAAATTTTCTTCACTCTGTGATAGCCTAGGTTGATCTTGAACTTGCTGTCTTCCTAAGTCAGCCTTTTGTGTTCTAGTATTATAGATGTGCTCCACGTTGCCTGACCTAAGACAGATTGTATAGACGGTAACGTTCCCTCTTTGAGAGTTCCATGAGTTCTGACACAGGTGTATAACTTCTACCATAATGAAAATAACACTATCGTTACCTTCCCAATTCAGTCCTTTCTCCCTAGAGAAATCGTAAACCAGGAGGATCTTAAGATACACATCAACAGATACGAGTCAAGCTTGAAACATGATTCTGATAAACTTATTATTTTGTTTTTTTTTTTTTTTTTTTTTTTTTTTCAAGACAGGGTTTCTCCGTGTAGCCCTGGCTGTCCTGAAACTTGCTTTGTAGACCAGGCTGGCCTCAAACTCTTAGAGATCC